ATGAAACATGTTTTTTAATTGGCATAACATTTGAAATGATTTGCTCAAGAAAGACTGGAACTCTGGCGCTAAAAAAAATTCACAAAATGACTTGGTAAAGGGCAAATTCCAATCCTTTCTGAAATGTTTCTAATGCCACTTTTCACTTTTTGCAAATGAGCTATTCATACATCGTGCATTTTTTCTGCTGGAGTCTAAATGCCAAGTCACGACTGCTGTTGTGATTTAGGGTCGAAACACAAATACATTGCATAGTACCACTGGAACAGTCTTCTTGAAAATGTCAGACAGGCTTCTTCTCTGACTATGTTCAAATCCAGGTCAAAAACAGGTCTGTTTAGCTGTGCTACAACTGAGGGATTATATCTATATCACTGTTTAATCTACTGTAATTATTTATGACTTTAATAAGCAATTGTTTTTATCTTGTTTGTTCAGCCATTTTAGTTGCTTTTTGTTTGAACTGTGCTATACAAATAAACTTGCCTTGCCTACTACTAAGAGTATTTCTGTTTTCTTACAGAATCCTATATTTTTGTTGTAGACGGCTGAATAGATATGTGTTATTGTGATGGCAGTTTCACCGTCTTTTCTGTGGCAAAGTTTTGAATTCAGAGAGCGTCGTAGAGCAACAAAAGAGCTCTCAAAATAAAAGGTGTTTCTTCCGCATTTTCAACAGCTGTCAATAGTAATAGTTGTCACAGCATCCCGACAACAGGGAAAAAAAGGAACCAAATGATTCAAAATAGACAAGGGTTAGGCAAGTGTATTTGTAAAGCACAGTTTTATACACAAGTGACTCAAAACAAGACAAGAAACATGAAAATCACACAAGACATTCAAATCAAAATCAATCACAGTACATTAAAAAAGAGGGAAGAGCCAATTGTCAGAGCAGTCAATCTCCTTAGTGTTAGTTGATCAAGATTTATTCTAAGCAAGAGAGGTCTTTCTTTTTCATTTTTAAGTCTGAAGAAATATGTGTGACAGAGGCCAAAAGTATGTGAATGGAAATTAGTGATAAAAGCAAACTGTTTTGAGAGATATCCATATCCTTCATGGTTAGGATTTTATAAAATATTGTAGGTCAGGTACACTAGCTTTAACCGCTGACTCAGGACACACACTTGAGCTCAACAGAACTTCATCCTATAAGTAGTAGAAAAATTGCCGCCATTTCACCTTCACCAAAATCCAATACATCCTCCCCCCGCGCTGAGAGCTACTTAGGCCTTACATTATCGCTAACACCCGGAGAATGGGCCCAGGATCCAGTCAATATACATCAGCCGATATGAAAGGCCGGATTATCAGAGCAGAGGCTCCGGCGCGTGCAGAGCATAGACTGTATATAGATGGACAACGAGGAAGTGCTCATGGAGGAAGTTTTGATCCAACTCGCTCTGGCTCCTATTGACATGTATAAGTCAAACTCACTCTTTTGGGCTTCATAGATCTATGGTTTAGGGCTCTCTGTGATCCTGGACCGGCAAACTTTGCACTGCCAGAGTCCCTTTTTAAATGTACATACAGTAAGATACCTTTTTTGCCCACAAGACAGCCTATATCTTTTTTACTTTTCAACATGTTTTCACAGAACCCGTATGTCTGCACAGCCTGAGTGATCTTATTGAAGCCAAATGTTACATGAACATTTCTCCATTTTTAGATCCATACATTTTTCCATTTTTAGATCCAATGAAAATTCCAACATGAGCCTGATAAGGATTGACCAATCAGGGGAAACTCCAGCTTGCCTAAGCAATTGTGCGACAGTGTTGATGATCCAGGGCAATTGAGGAAAATTATTCACATTTATGGACATTGGTCATCTGCTTCTCTTAGACATTTTACTCTATGTTTTTTATTTATTTTTAATTTAACCTTTATTTAACCAGGATAACCTCATTGATATTAATAACCTCTTTTTCAGGAATGTCCTGGACAAGAGGCAACACATTCAACATCAAACATCAAATAAAATGAAACCCATAAAACACCAAAAGAAATGTTTCAAAAAAAACAGGTACAATGTGCACACTGTTCATCTAAAACATTTAGCCGTCTCAAACAAGTACAGGGAAGTCAGTTCCTTGAGTTCAAGTTTTGTTTGCAGCAGATTCCATGCAAAGGGTGCTGCAGTTCCGTCCTAACTCTGGGAATGGACAGCATCAGGACGCTCTGAGACCTCAGGTTATAGGCTCCAGCACTCCTGGGCACTAGGTAGTCAGCCAGATACTGTATGAGGCAGCAGACCTAACATGGCCTTATAGATTAAATTATGCCAATGCTTCAGTCTACGCAACGACAAAGAGCTCTGACCAATTCTCTCATAGAGCACACAATGATGAGTCAAAGATTTTAGGTTGGTCACAAATCTTAGAGCTCTGTGGTACACAGTGTCCAATGTATGCAAGGCCTGTGATGAGGCATGCATATAGAGCACATCTCCATAATCCAATACAGGCAGAAAGGTAGCAGACACAAGCCTCCTCCTTGCTTGAAAAGATTAAAGCAAGATTTAATCCTGAAAAAGAATCCCAATTTAATGTTTAGTTTTCTTGTCAACTCCTGAAAATGTGGTGCAAAAGAAAGGCACTCATATGTGTATTTTATTGTTGCATTTCCTGTGTTCAAACTGTTTGATTCTCTGATCCGTTTTGACGAGGTGACTACTTTGTAAAGTCCTTTGAGATGACACTGCTGTGATTTAGGGCTTTACACAAATAAACTGAATTGAAATCAAACTGCATATAAGGAAAATTGCTCCAGCTAGCTTATGTTCAAGTCAGCCTTTTCCGCATTAAGGCTAACACTAAAGTGATGTCACATTCGGTCAGTCCTCTCCTAATATACACTACGGTGCAGAGTGTATATTATTGGGTGGGCCACGGGGGGAGCTGGGAGTGGGGGAGGTCTGGGGGTGGGAGGGCCTGTACCGCTGTCACCCGTCTCTCAAGTCCACTAAAATTGATTTGAGGTTTTGGCAGAAGGAGGGGAGGTGGGGAGAGGAGGAGAAGTCAAGGACACACACGAGGCAGGAGGAATCTGTAGAAGAGAGAAATGCTGTATTCACACAATACAGAGGTTTAATGGTTTGGAGATATCATGTGGCAAATGAGCCCACTCTGTGTATTCATAATCATTGGAATATTGTTGAACAGTTCAAAGTCACAGCTGCAGTCATCTCCAGATTTGCAGAGTCTTTAGAGCAGGGTCCCGAACCTTTAGCTCAGGAGCAACCGGTAGCTCGCCAAAGATTTTTGAATTGCCAAATATGCTGAATAAATCTACCTTAATACAACTACATATGGCAGTACAAGGCCACAAGGGGGGGTAGTGTGCAGGCTTTAAAAGTCATTGGCCCTTCTTCTTCGGTCTTGGACTGCACACTTCCTGGTCCGCTGTTTTCCGTCTTCCGTGTTACATCCATGTTGCATCACAGGTAGAGTCTTGTTGTCGACTTACTAAAAATCAGGAATTTATCTAATTGATCTTTTCATTGTAGAATGGGGACGTCAGCCATCCCACCACAGCTCCTGTTCAGCGCAGGTGTGGAGGGTGTGTCCACCTCCTGCACTTTACGTGTCCTGCATTAAATGGTAGTACGTGTGTGAATAGAGGTATCAGAAGCTCATCATTCCAACAAATCAATGTTCTCTCCACGAGATGACAAAACTAGCTTTGGGCTAGGAGCGAGTTTTGAAAATCACAACGTAAATATCTTACTTCCTTGCCAAAGATATGAGGCCATGCAGTGTGGTAAAAAACCAAGACATCCGCTACAATCAGAGGTGTCCAAACCGGTCCAGAAAGGGCGGATCTATCAGATCCAGGAGGAGCAGAGCAGACTCCTCCCATTTCCTCAAATCTTCAGGTTAAGACCATAGACTGTATATATCGACGGACGTAGTCACGCCTATCTCCGCTGTTCTAACTAATGGGCCAAAAATTGGGCTCTCATGGAGTGATTCAAAATGGCCGCGGGGGCTGGAAAATGTGAAAAATCGCATGCGTCAGCTGACACAAGCCCCATTAATTTAAACAAGTGACTTCAAAAATTCACAGCGAGTAAACTAGAGTGGTTCGAAAAACTCCCCTCCCTTCACTCCCCTCAGCATTGACACACATGTTTCTGAAGCTGTGTGAACACAGCTTCAGAAACATTCTCCACACTCAATTCATGCTTAAAACTTTTATTGCGAATAACTTTACATGTTTTTATTGCTGCTGTTTTTTGTTCATCAAAAAACCCAAAATAGCCTCATGTGAGTTAGTAATGTTTATTTATGTAGCACCTTTCACAGACCAGAGTCACTAAGCGCTTTACAATTGTGGGCATTTGTCTCTCACTCCACACAGAGATGGGAGCATGTTCCTATTGTACACGTTTTTAGTGGTAGGGAAACCAGAGCACCTGGAAGAAATCTACGCTGACACGGGGAGAACATGTAAACTCCACTCAGAATGGCCCTGTCACGACAGGGATTGAACAGTCCACAGCCGAGTCTCAGATGCTAGCTCCCTGGTGCCAGATCCTAAACCTGTTGATAGTTAGTGTATGTTACACATTTATTCTTACCTGTTTTCTGTAACTGCGATCTCCATCCCGGGCCCCTTGTTCCCTCTTGTCCTACCTTTTATTGTGTCTTGGGTTCACTTGCCCCTCGTTACTATGACTCCATTATCCAGGAGTGTCCTCCATTATGTAGCCGGTTCCTCGCTTCTCTCCCCTTCAAAATCTCGTGGTCACGCAGTGTGCGTGCTCTCTGACTGGTTGTCGCACGTGGGTCCAGCAGAAAAGTTGATATTGACTTTGCACTTAAACTTGTCGCAAGGCATGGTCCGGGGTCTCCCTCCAGGGAACGCCTTGACTCAGTTTGCATTGAAAGTGACATTTGAACCCCCACCCAGTAAGGCCCGGATCCGACACGGATTCCAACTCAGAACCCTCTTGCGGAGAAGCAGCTGTGACGAAGAACAGGAGGAACTATGCGGTGTTACGGTCGCAGCTCGGCCTTGCTGTATTGGGCCTCGCTCGCACTGGGCCTCAACCGTACTGGACCTCGCTGTACTGGGCCTCGCGGCACCGGGCCTTGCTGGCACCGGGCCCCGCCGTACTGGGCCTCGTGGTACTGTGCCTTGCCACACTGGGCCTCGGATGGGAGGTCCGAGTGCACACTTTAGTGTGTGCACTAAAGTGTGCACAATCAGAATCACTCTATACTTCAGTGTGTGCACTAAAGTGTAGAGTGAGTCTGATTGTGGCTGTGTTTATTCTGAGTTAGCAATATTAAGAAACCTAGTGTTTTTTTTAATTTAAGTGGTCCTGTTCATTTTGTTAAATTGAATGACCAAAAAATAGGCGTAACAAACTACAGGACCTCTCAGAATAAAAAAAAAACACGAGGAGTCTTATTCTAACTCAGAATAAACACAGCCACAACAACCTCCCACCCGAAGGGGCTGGTTGCTTTTCAGTGAGCTCCCATAGGACACCTGCGCAGACTCATGGTTGCTAACCATGCAGTCGCCACAACCCTCCTGTTGGAAGTAAACGCCTTACTTCCTTCTCCATATCCAACTGAAGCAACCCAAGCCTTTGCGTTGCTTCTTCTCTTCAGTCACCTGGAACGGCATCCTCAAGTTTGTCGTCTTTTGTGAGGAGTCTGCAGTCTTCGCCTGTTTAAAAGCGCCTGTCCTTATGAGCTGCCCCTTCTTCTTACGCAGGTTCTGTGCACTCACCTCCTCCTCAGACACAGTCTCTAAATGTGACTGGCGGAAGCAACACAAGACGTTGCGAATGGATTTCTCTTTACGGCGCTGCTTCTCCTCTTCAATCACCTGGAACGGCATCCTCACGTTTGTCGCCGCTTGTGAGGAGTCTGCAGTCAGCCGCCTCTGCTCACACAGGTCCTGCGCACTCACCTCTACCTCAGGTACAGTCTCTCTATGTGACTGTTCCACCGTCTGAGGCCGTGACTCTGTTCCACATTCAGACGTTGTGGGCTCCTTCACAAACTGTTGCATCTCCCGATGAAGACGAGTCACATCTTCAGTCAATCGTGTGACGTTCTGCATCATGAACTCGTTGGCCTCTGTCAGAGTCTGGAGCTGAAGATCTCTTACTTCTAACTGGAGCTGTTTCTGTCTGAGCTCTTGTTCCACACTTCTCTGGGCGGCGTTCAAACGCGTCTCTTGCTTTCGAGCCAATCCTATGACGCAGGTCAGTTTGGCCTCATGTGCTTCCACCTGTGTGTGCTCCATGGGACAAAGATCCTTAATCTTGGTTGGTTTGGCATGAACGGGTCCCTCACCTTCATCTGTCAACCGAAACAGGAACTCATTCTTGGCTTTATGGAGAGCCAGGATCTCTTCGTCTTTAGCTGTCAGGTCTTCTTGAGCTCTTCTAAGCTGCTCTTCAAACCCTCGGTGCTCAGATATTCTGGCTTGGGTTGAGTCGGATATTCTGGCTTGGGTTGAGTCCTTCTCTCTGACCTCGGCCATCCTCAGATCTCTGCGCAGCTTGGCACAGACGTCGTCGTCTTGAGCGAGCTTTAGCTGTTTTTGCGCTTCATTCAACTGACAGGTCTTTTCTTTCAGATCCTTCTTCAGGTCTTCAATCTGACTGGTCAGATTGGCCTTCTGGCTCGCAGCTGTAGCCTTTAGCTCTTCTATTTCTTTCAGACGGTTTCGCTTAAAGGAATCCCTGTACTGTTCCCTAAACCGGGTGAGGTCCTGCTCCATCCCCCATTCTCGCTTAGCAATGAAGGCCTGCAACTCCTGGTTTTTGACTTTGCAGTCTACCAGGAGCGCACAACAGGCACACGGGTGTTGGTGGACCATGTTATCGTCCAAACTCATCTTTGTGTGTGTTTCGGAGTCAGTTACTCCATGTCTGACTTGACAGACCCAGACCTACATGAACTAATGTCCTGCTCCACCTCTGCTGCTCTGACCCGTCCTGCTCCAGCCTAAGCTGTTTCATATTTGGAATAGAATGTGATGTCACAAAGCTTAGATGGCCGTTACCATGGAAACCCCCGAATGGTCTGGAACATCACTATAGAAGGCTGTTACCCTGGAAACCTGGAGTGGTTTTTACTGTGAGTTCTGTTGTCTCTGTTGTAAATAACATCAATAAAGAAATAAGAAAAAACCTTTATTTGTGCCATTGTCATCGCTGCACAGAACGGGACGTCAGGACACAGATGAGATACATATATGTGGGACCAGAAGGAGAGACCAGAGAGACACCTGAGAGGAACATATATGTGGGAACAGAAGGAGAGACCAAAGAGGAACATATACATTGGGGCAAGAAAGTATTTAGTCAGCCACTGATTGGTCTGTAATTTTCATCATAGGTACACTTCAACTGTGAGAGACAGAATGTGAAACATAAATCCAGGAATTCACATTGGAAGATTTTTAAAGAATTTATTTGTAAATTATGGTGGAAAATAAGCTTGGTCACTTCAAACAAGGAAGATCTCTGACTGTCACAGACCTGTAACTTCTTCTTTAAGACGTTCTTCTGTCCTCCACTCGTTACCTGTATTAATGGCACCTGTTTGAACTCTTTATCTGTATAAAAGATAGCCCAAATGTAGCCCAAAACGATATTTCAACCACTGATAATCTCCCTCGATGTGGGGCTCCACGCAAGATCTCATCCCGTGGGGTCAAAATGATCATGAGAACGGTGATCAAAAATCCCAGAACCACACGGGGGGACCTGGTGAATGACCTGCAGAGAGCTGGGACCAAAGTAACAAAGGTTACCGTCAGTAACAAAGGTTACCGTCAGTAACAAAGGTTACCGTCAGTAACAAAGGTTACCGTCAGTAACACACTACGACGACAGGGAATCAAATCCTGCAGTGCCAGACGTGTCCCCCTGCTGAAGCCAGTGCATGTCCAGGCCTGTCTGAAGTTTGCCAGAGAGCACATGGATGCATGATACAGCAGAGGATCGGGAGAATGTCATGTGGTCAGATGAAACCATAATTTACAAATAAATTCTTTAAAAATCCTACAATGTGAATTCCTGGATTTTTTTTCACATTCTGTCTCTCACAGTTGAAGTGTACCTATGTACCTATGATGAAAATTACAGACCACTGTCATTATTTGAAGTGGGAGAACTTGCACAATTGGTGGCTGACTAAATACTTTTTTGCCCCACTGTATGTGAGACCAGAGAGATCTTAAATGGACCAGAAAGTGGCCAGACAGTATGAGGCCAGAGAAACCAGAGAGATATCACAGAGGGACCAGAGAGAGAAACAAGAGAGAAGGACCAGAGAGAGGGACCAGAGAGGGGGACCAGAGAAAGGGACTAGAGAGAGGAACCAGAGAGAGGGACCAGAGAGGGGGACCAGAGAGGTGGACCAGAGAGAGGGACCAGAGAGAGGAACCAGACAGGGGGACCAGAGAGAGGGACTAGAGAGAGGAACCAGAGAGAGGGACCAGAGAGGGGGACCAGAGAGGGAGACACTGACCTTCCCCTGGTCTGACTGCTCCCAAGTCCAGGCCAAGTGCCACAGTGATCATTCTCACATCCTGGAGCCTTAAAGGAGACATATCCTGCTGAATTGTCTTTCTCTCTTTTCTCCATGTTCCATGTGTCCATGTTTTGAGATACATCCACGCTAACAGGGCGACAGTAGCTCAGTTGGTAGAGCATTGGCCCTTGAGCCAGAGTCGTGGGTTCGAGCCAGACTTTGACCATCAACTCCCACTGTCTGCTGTTGTTGTGTCCTTGGCATGGCACTTAACCTCTGGGAACACCTGATGCCACAGTGGGGCGGCTGCGGCTGAAAAGTGCCAACTGCCTTTGTGTCCTTAGGCAAGACACTTCACCCCCATTGCCTAGAATGAGTCTGGTGTGTGTGTGAATGGTTGGTGGTGGTCGGAGGGGCCGCTGGCACATACTGGTTGCCCCGCTTCTGTCAGTGTGCCCCAGGGCAGCTGTGGCTACAGTAGTAGTTATCACCACTGTGTATGGAGTGAAAGAATAATGACATGTGAAGCGTCTTTGAGTGTCCAAAAAAGCGCTATATAAAACTGATAGAATACGGAACGTCAAACATGTCCCTGTCTTGCATGTAAAAAAATGAATCTGATGTAACAAAAAATAATTTACTTTATTTGATTTGAATTTTCTACCATATTGTTTAATATTATGGTAACTTTGGATTCGATTTAAGTCATTCCGACTCTCTCTCCAAAAACATTGAGAGCTCCCTTATGCTAACAGTCTTAATTGTGGAAGTCCATCCATCCATGTTCTACCCTTTAATCCATTTCTGGGTCAGGGGGGTGGCAGTCAGAGATGCCACCCAAGTCTCATAGCACCAGCCCCTCACTGACCCTCTGCAGGTGGTGAGTCCACAGGAGGACGGCTGCTCTCTGAGTGTGAGCATAGCCTTGATCTTTCAGTGGGGGCTTTGGGCAAAGTGGGGTTAAGTGTCTTGCCCAAGGACACAACGACAGCAGTCATCAGTGGGTGTCGGTGGAGAAGGTGTAGAGGTGGGAATTGAACCCACGACCTTCAGGCCTGAAGGCCAATGCTCTACCAACTGAGCTACTGTCTGTTACAACAATTGTTTTTAGAGTAATCATTAGTTTTAAAATTGTGATATTTCGTGTAAATAATGCATGTGTTTAATACGACTGATGTATTTGCTATGGCCCTCGTTTGTGCATCACTTTGGTCATTTGTATTAAGCCTAAATGTGATAATGTGCATTTACTGATGACAGGGGGACATCTGTGAACATGAAGCTGGACACAGAAGACGCGTGGACTTGAACTTACGGACCAGATTTAAGGTCATGAGTACTTACTTTTTGAGCACAAGCTCTTTGCCTCTTGAAATCCAACAGACCTGATCATGTCAGAGTTATTGGTTTAAATGTATTTAAGATTAGAAGTAGTACTTAAATAAAAGCTATGAAACATGTTTCTCACTGATTGTGTGGTTGGATAAAACAAACGCATACATCACTTTTCATTGCACACAAAGAACTAAATCATAATTATTTTATTTGATTCCAGGTTGTGATGAGTACACAGTAGAAAAGACAGCTGTGTCAGAGGCAGACGTCCAGGCACCTGCTGTTACTGCTGTTACTGCTGCTGCTGCTGCATTTGTCTTCAGAAAATGAGAGATGTGTTCTAACTATCCATGACTTGTAATTAATAAACAAATGAAAATATTGGTCATTGTAATTTATATTGTAATCCACAGAAACTGGAGGTGATGGAAATGGATGAAGAAATGATGGCCTCTGGAAGACAGCTCCCCTGGAAAAGAAATTCACACCAAAAAAATCACTAAAGCCACCCTGTGTCATTTTTACAGCTGCTCCATATGAAAAAACATGTTAACTAATATCAAATGTGACCTTTTTAAGAATATTTTCCTCCACCATGATTTTTGAATTGTATTCATAGGCTTAGAATTTAACTTATAAGTGTCCATGAGCGCTGAGGACTATCCATGTCAATGCACCATCTTGGAAAACAGTGGTGGATAAGGACAAAAAGGCTGCAAGAAACGCGTTTTTCGTTTCACATGAGCTACTGATATCGTTGCTTTCACCGTGACCTCACAAGTTGGAAGAAGGAACCATGGAGGACCACAGTTATATAAAAGAACCATGGAGGACCACAGTTATATAAAAGAACCATGGAGGACCACAGTTATATAAAAGAACCATAGAGGACCACAGTTATATAAAAGAACCACGGAGGACCACAGTTATATAAAAGAACCATGAAGGACCACAGTTATATAAAAGAACCACGGAGGACCACAGTTATATAAAAGAACCATGGAGGACCACAGTTATATAAAAGAACCATGGAGGACCACAGTTATGTAAAAGAAAGTTTGATGTCCAGCGTCATAGCAGCAAAGTGTCAACATCACAAACCACACACACCGAAAGAAAGAAAACACAACAGGAGGCACATCGTGTGGTTTGTACACAACAGACTCACACGTGAACAATACATAACTTTTTCACACTGACAATAATGTGAACGAGGCACAATCTGCTACAGTCTCAGGATGTTCTGACCCGATCCGAGTACAGTTCAAACTACTATGTCACAAGTTTCAACAAAACATATTCAGGGAAAAAGCCTCAAACAAAACACACACAGAATCCCCACAAAACAATCGCCACAATACTTTATCAGCAGCGTGATAAAACAACATTCAGTTCTGTTTTCTTACCGTGATGCAGATAGGGCGCTGTGACTAACGCTAATATGAGCTTTTAGCCATGTCCTGCCGCGGCTGTGTTTATCTCCTGCTTCTTTGATCACTGTAGTTTTTAGCTCCCACAGACGTTATTCCTCAATGCATCTCTTCTCTTCACACCACGTTTGTAAAACTAAACATATTATATAGATCCATTGTAAAACTTAGAGGCCTCTGTGCAGGGTGCTGCTGTCCGAACCATAGACTGTATATATTAACGGACGTAGTCACGCCTATCTCCGCCGTTCAAACTAATGGGTCAAAAAATTTGCTCTACTGGAGCAATCCAAAAGGCCGCAAGTGGTCCCCCACAAGAAAATTGTGGAAAAACGCATCTGCGCATGTGTCAGCCGGCGAGAGCTCCATTCATTTGAACGAGTGCCTTCAAAATTTCACAGCAACTAAACCAGAGTGGTCCATCCTGTAAAGTCGTTTTAGAGAGGTCAGCTAATGCTATATGTTAGCAATGGCTAATTCTTATACCGGGTCCAACCCCATCGGCCCCGGGTGGTATTGCAAGCATGTCAGCGCACGTCATTTTGACCACTTTTGAGCCGGGACCCCCCCCCCCCCATTGGTTAAGACTGAG